ATCCCATCAGAGAGGGTCAAGCGGATAGAGCTAGTTTTCGACCTCCTAGAGTTGTTAATGTTCCTGCTCAATTTCAGGGTGGTCATCTCATCGAAAATAAATAAAGGGTGCAAAACGAGCTAGCATCGATAGTTCGTAATAACTACAGGGTTGACTATGACTCGGTGGAGTCAACTAGTGCTATTGTTCTCCCTTCACTACCTCAAGGACATTCTTTTGTGGTGACCAACAACCTTATGCAAATGCTTACATCAAGAGGGTTGTTTCATGGGTTACCTTCAGAAGATCCATATGCTCACATGAGTAAATTGAAAAGTGTATGCATGAGTAGTGTGGGACGACCAGACTTAGACATGGACATAATAGGCTTGATAGTATTCCCACTCTCATTGATAGAAGATGTTGTTGTGTGGTTTTCTGAGCTGCCATACAATTCAATATATACATGGGAACAACTACACAAGGTGTTCATGGCAAGATATTTTCTAGTGTCCAAGAAGTTGAATCTGAAGGATAAATTAAATAACTTCATGGCACTTCCCGTAGAGTCGGTAAGTAGTTCGTGGGATATATTCACTAGATTTATGAGCAGTGTGCCAAACCACTGCATAGATGATGAGTCACTGAAAGAGTACTTTACAGAGGACATGATGACAATGGAAAGGCTATGCTAGATAGTATTGCTGGAGAATCTTATGGGGAATGCACCTATGAGGAGATTGCTTACAAACTTGACAAGATCTCTAAGAACAATAAGGTATGGAGCACTAGAAAGGCAACTACTGATAGAATGACGTTTGCTATCCAAACTGCACCAAGTCAATCAAATGATGGTATTCTTGAGGAGATGGCCCAAATGAGGACATAAATTGTCTTGGTATTAAAACATGTGAGTGGAGGTACAAAGAAAGTGAATTATGTGAACTCCCAACCTAGAGCACCGCCGGTTGATGAGTACTTTTATGAGGAGGATGCAAATCTAGTGAATGATCAAACGGAGGGTTTCCGAACCAACACCCAAGGTTCCAATTCGGATAATTGGCGCCAAGTTCGGAACTATGGTAACTATAACAATGATGGAAACTATGTCCGTGATGGGAACCTCAACCGCGATAACAACAATAATCGGAATGGCCATGGCAACAGGAATGAGAAGAATAGGCCCTATGTTCCACCTGGTAATAGAGAGGTTGAGTCAAGTATGACTCACATTAAATATATGTTGCAGAAGATGATGAAGTGATTTGATGCGACTGATGACAATGTAAAGGAGATGCATAATTATTTATCTCGAATTGGTCATAAAGTTGACGCCCATGCAGTATCGATTAAGCTACTTGAGAAGTAGGTTAGTCAGTTGTCAATGATGGTAACCCACGTCAACCATGAACCTTTCCTAGCAATACAATTCAAAATCCAAAAAATGATGGTCATTGCATGACAGTCACTACTTGAGGTGGATATCAGACTATAGATCCCCCTATACCAACTGCAGTTGAAAGTGCGGTAGAGAAAGTTGAGGATGAAGTCGAGGTAGTTGAGGATCCGAAAGTTGATGCAGAGAAAGAAGTTGAGTTGACTTGAAAAACTATCCCCATGCCTAGACCTCCACCTCCCTTCCAACAAAGGTTGGTGAAAACGACTGAAGAGGGGATATATCGCAGGTTTATAGCTATGTTACAGCAGCTTTACATAAATATCCCGTTGATTGAGGCACCTGAATAAATGCCAGGGTACCCAAAGTTCATAACAGATTTGGTGACCAAAAAGAGAGCTGTCAGTTTTGAGAGTGAAGAAAAGGTGCAATATTGTAGTGCCATTGCTATTAGGTCACTGGTGCAGAAGAAAGATGATCCTGGAGCTTTCACTATTCCTTGTACTATTGGTATGTGATAACTCTCAACTACACTTCATTCAATACTAAGTTTAGGTGATCGCAGTCTAGTATATACCCAACAAAGTGTTGGGGTCGATTCCACCGGGAGTGATACGATCAAGAATTTAGTTACAAAGTGAAAGACATGTTCTAAATGGTTGTAGGAATAGAAATTATCGAAATCATTAGATTTAAATCTAAGCGGTTGGAAACAAGTGTCAAATGAGGGATAAGGTTTGTCAATTAATAATTACAAAAATAGGGGAGTGATGAAGTAGATAAGGGATACTTGCGGCTGTGATCGATTAATTTCCAATTTCGTTATACGGGTGATTACTAATTACCAAAAGTTATTGAATTTTAATGGGTAGGCTAAGCTTTAGATAAATAGACATCTCTCGATTAAGTATCACGAATCAAGTGAGTTCTCTCGAACTTCAACAAGCATCACACTATAAAGAGCCCAAACCCTCAATTTATCTACTCTCTCGCTAGATAGGTAGGATCAAATTAAAATACACTCTCTTGAGATGAATCCACAAATACCCAATAACTACAATTATCAATTGATAACCTTAATTCTATAACCGCTTTCTCAAGCAAACATAGAATACTAGACTAGAACTGCATTTGCAACTACAATTCATGAGTTAATACACAATTACCATTCAAACCCACTTCAAAACAACAATAATATCACTAATTCTAACACCCATAAGCTAATTAAGACAATTAATCACATAACCATACCCCCCAAGAATGGGGGTTTTAGCCACACATATTGAAAAATGAGAAAAGATTACCAACTACATTATCTATAAGCCGGGCAATCCAATCCACGTCTTTACAATGGTCTAATTTAGCTTCAAATCCAAAATCCAACTTGAAATGTACTAGAAAATTCTCAAAAACCAAGAAAAAGAAAGTTTCAACCAAAACTCAAAATCTAACAATGGCAAGATTCCACTTTTCTCTGTTTGAAAATAAATTTATACGCTTCTAGATTTCGATCTTTGGGGTCACTTGGCGGAGTTAGTCGAGCATCGCCGACCAAGTCGGCGATGCAGCAATTGCTCTTCTCTATCGGCGTTTTGCCTTAACTCTTCATCTTTTAGACCCTGTAACTTTAGGAGATCCAATTTTTTTTGCCGATCCATTCGGCAATTTGCCGAAAATCCAATTCCATATCCAAGTTGGCTTCTTCCCAAGGATAGAAGTCTGGAATATTTGGCGAGCTGAAGTGCCACTCGGCGACTGACCGAGTGGCTTTGGCAATTGTCAGCTTTCCTTATCTTCAACCTTTTTCATCTTTTCGACTCCTTTTTGCTTGGTAATGTCCTTGCCTTACTCTTTCACCTTTATATCTACAAATTTGCATTCAAACATCAGTTTAGTGCATAAAATAGGCATAGAAGACACTAATCCTATGAATAACAAGCCCTAAATGGATCAAAATCCCTGACTCATCAATATGCTGCAATTTGCGAAGGCCTTTTGTGATTTGGGTGCTAGCATTAACTTGATGCCATTGTCGATCTATAAGAAGTTGGGTTTATGATCTCCAAAGTCGAATGCAATGCGTTTGCATATGGCGAATAGAACTGTGAAAAAACCTATTAGAGTGCTCTAAGATGTCCTTATGAAAGTTGAGTCATTCATTTTTTCAGCGGACTTTGTGATATTAGATTACAAGGTTGATTTTGAGGTCCCCATCATTTTAAAGAAGCAATTTCTTGTTCCTGGCGTGCGTTGGTCGATATGGAGAGAGGGCAAATGAAGTTTTGACTGAATAATGAAGAGGTAACTTTTGATATTTGTAGGTCTATGAAGAATGTAGGTGATATCAAGATGGTATCGGTAGTAAATCATACTGTTGAGCAAGAACTCGAAGTGTCTATCAAAGAGAGTTAGGTTTTGATGCACTAGCAGCTGTGGTAATAAATTTTGACAGTGATGGTATTGTTAACTATGATGAGCTAGTTGATGCACTTGAGGGGGTTCAGTTTTGTTACAAACCAAAGTAGTTGGAATTAGATATGAAGAATTGAGACACCTCGCCAGTAAAACCATATGCTAATGAGACTCCGAAATTAGAACATAAGGTTGTTCCATTGCACTTCTGGTATGTATTCTTGGGGAAAAATAGCACTTTACCAGTTATTATTACTTCTAACTTGAGTGAAGGGCAAATAGAGGCTTTGATGTTGGTTTTGATGAGGTTTAAAAGGGCTATAGGATGGACTATTGCTAACATTATTCGTATCCCACCGAGCATTTGTTCTCAAAAAATTCAACGTATGTCGGACAACAAGACAAGTATTTAGCATCAACAGAGATTGAATCCCCTGATTCACGAAGTTGGGAAGAAGGGATCATTAAGTGGTTAGATGTGGGAGTTGCATATTCTATTGGTGACAGTAATTTGGTCTGCCCAGTTTAATGCATTCCAAAGAAAGGAGGAATCATTGTGGTCCCCTCTAACACCCCAAATTTTATGTGTACAAGTCCTACACATATGGAACTTGAGTTAGCTTGGTGGTATAAGTAATGAACTTGATTTCCTAGATGAATGGTGACAATAAAGAAGCTATAAGGGTAACTCTTGTACATTGCAATATTGCACGATCGAGTGAACGTCAAATTTTAGAAGTATTTAAATTCTGGATCGAAGGGCTATATGTAAGTCTAAAAGTTAAGGTGATCAAGTGTATATACGTTTTGAGTTAAACTAAGGAGATTACGCTCGGAAAATGAATAAAAGAATTGAGGTGCTTGTTGGATTTTATAAAGCTAGCAGGTGTCACCTCCTTGCTTAGCTCAAATAGGCTAGGTAGATGGGGAATATTAGTTCATGCATTAGTGGGCTCACTT